GCTTGTATCAGTCATGGCATACATTTACAGCTATTTGTCCACGTCTGAATAAGGTCTAAGCCTCCATAACACTATTCTGCAGCCCAATTGTTCCCATGTAAGCCATGTTAAGTAAAAGCCACAAAGGCATTTTAAATTACAACAAATGTATTTCCTTGACACAATTTCCTTTTTCTTATTTCCTCTAACGCTTCACCACCACCCCAAACCCTTGAATGACTGATCATGCCCACACAAGCAATGCAATCTCCTGAGTGTTTACAACTCAAATCCTCTCCGAGTTGAAGTTAATCTGACATATCCTACAGACAGATCTTGTGTTCATTCAACAGACCATCGCTCATAAAAGGCACCCCCAAAAGACTGGGACCCTCATTTTGATCTGCGTTAAGGGGGCAAACTTTTTTGTTATTACTCTAGCTTGTATTGGATGTTCATTGAGCTAGCGTCGGACCCAGGCAATTTTGACCTCACACGTCAATACCTTTATATTTGTAGGGCCGGATCAATGGAACCCCCCGAAGGAAATAGAAAAAGAAAAAAAACGTTAACTCAACCTCAGTGTTTTTCCTACCGCAAAACCCACAAGGAAATTTCACAGACTTCAGAACACTGAAGAGGTTGTTAGGAGGGAAGGATCAATGCTGTGTATGGTCTTGCATTATAGTGTTGAGCACAATAATCCACTACCCTCCCAGAGCCCAGATCTGCCTCTTTGCTTTCTCAAAGTTTAAAAAGCTCAGCGTGTTTGTGTGGCAGCCAGATTTTCCAAATATCTAAGTGTTTGTTCATGCAGGCACAGCTAAATTAAAGTCTTCTGAACATGTTATTACACACTATTTCAACTGCACTCGTTCTCATAGCAGATGCGTGTCCTCATACCTTGGATGATGGTGTTATAGGACACCGTCTCCACGTTCCGTCCGTCATTATAAAACGCAAAGTGCCACACTCCCGAGTCCAGGTACTGGATGAATCCGGCTTGGTGGACGGCAACTGGGTCTGAGCGGGCCCTTGTGTCCGGTTCACTCAGAGCCCGATGCTCTTTGGCGATAAGCCGACTGCCGTCCAGTAGCTCGACAAAGTCATACTGCAAAACAAAAGCCAGAACAGATTCCAGCAGTTGCAAAAGATGGACCTTTAATGTCAGCCTAATTAAATCAGACAGTAAAGGAGAGAGAGAGTTTTCAAAAAGTTTTGATCTTTTGAAATATTGAATGCTTCGCATGCAAAGTCTGACAGGGACTCAAAGTTAGTTGTAAAGCAAGACACAGCCATAACAAGTTCGTGTACACAGCAAATATTCAGAGTATAATAAATGTTGATTTTGCAGTGAAAGCTATTTGGAGTTGATAGATGTGGTTTGGAGAGGTGTTTGTATACTGATAGAGCTGATATGGCTCTAGGGCAAATGCTCAAAAATGTTCCAAAAATATATTGTTGCGTCGGGTGGGAGTGAATTTACAGACAGGCTGGCAATGTGTTTATTACAATCTGCTAAATTAACATTGATAATGTAATAATGGTGGTAGTAAAAATCCTCATTTATTCAGTTCAGGAGCACCTGTTCAGAATATAAATAAATACCATGTTTATCAATCACGTCTATACACATTTTACACAGTTTCTTCAAATTTAAGTCAGTAGACTTGATGATAATGGTCCTGCTAATTTTCTTTTGATATCTGTAGATTGTAGTCTTTTATCCTGTCTTCCTTCTCTCACCCCAACCGGTTGCAGCAGATGGCCCCGCCCCTCCCTGAGCCTGGTTCTGCCGGAGGTTTCTTCCTGTTAAAAGGGAGTTTTTCCTTCCCACTGTCGCCAAAGTGCTTGCTCATAGGGGGTCATATGATTGTTGGGTTTTTCTCTGTATCTATGAAGCGCCTTGAGGCGACTTTTGTTGTGATTTGGCGCTATATAAATAAAATTGAATTGAATTGAATTGAAATTGAATTGCTAAGAAATAACCATATGGATTCCAAGATTATTCCCACGAAATAACCATCCACTGTTCTGAATGCAAATCAGCATTGGATATCATAAACAGTAGAATGTAGTTGCAAAGCATTAAAAAAAAAATCAGTCTAATTAATGATTCATTTTGCAATGCTTGCGCACTGTCAAGTTTGGTATCATTTGGATGAGTGATTAGTTTGATTAAAATATTTGTTACACAGTACTTTACTGTGAGATGTCTAAAGAACCAACGCTGACTGCAAGAGATTATAATATGAACATTTATGACCACATATAATTTGATTTGACGTAGCTTCTTCTTGCAAGGTGAGTCTGTGTTTGATTATTTAGCAAGTGCATTAATTGGCATTAACTCTTCTCATCTTATGTTCTTGTGCTGTGTTTAGTAACTTTTTTCCTTCCCTTTTTAACATCATACATGTATCTGTTAGCTTTCACAACAGCAGACTGCCCGAACAGCCATTTAGGAAAAATGTGTACATTTTAGGGACAGAAAATGCCCTGGGCTCTCCCTGAACAGGCACTGTGCTAGTGAATGAGAACAAATGCAACTTAAAGACACGGTGACCTCGGGCGTTTTCTTTTTTATTGTTATATGTGAGGAATTTAGCAGCATATCGATATATTAGCTCCAAACAAACACTGATTTAAAGGGTAAACAAGGAGTAACGAGTTATTCCTGCCAATGAGTGAATTGGTGCATCTGGTCTCACTGCACCTGCTCGACACCTGAGCCTCACTGAAGCTGCAAGGTACACACAGCTCTGCAGCAGAAAACAGTGTAACACAAAAATCCCCAAACATGCTACAGGCTGCAGAGGAGTACATCTGATGAAGACAGCAGATCCCCTGGCTAACGCAGTTGTTAGCGACACAGATGCACTGAGCCTATAGTGCAGGCTCAGGCTGGAACAGAGTCTGTGGATTTCTTAGGAGTGGGATGCATACAGATTGGCACAGTAGCTGTTTTTAAAGAGCTCCGATTCAAATCCAGCGATGAGGCTGTTTGCAGAGGGCTTTGATGAACTGTTTAAGCCATTGATTTCTGACCGACTCCACAGCTGAAGCACTTTTAAACGAAAAATTCAGACACATACATTTATAAAATTTAACCACATATTAAAATGTTCCGTTTATTTCAGCTGGAAGTCAAAACTTCATCATTTGATTTCAGTAATAACTGAATTTACAAATAATTGTAACATTCTTTTGTAATCCACATAAAAAGACACTTATAATCGAGGACCTATGGAATATTCTGTCTCACGGAAACACAACAAATGTCCAAATGGATTAAGAATGGGGACAAAAGGTGAATTAAAACAGGATTTAGTGCACAGGAATGTGACAAACTCAAAGGCCCAGGCGACCTTTTAGTTGACTTGCAAACGACTGAGAAGAGAGCATTAAGCGAGGGGCAGGAAGAGTCAATGCTGTGATTTAAAGCGTTCTGAGCAGAGCAGGGGGGCAGGGTGGGGATATTAACCTGGCGGAAGTTGACTTCTTTGTGTTGTTGACTTGAGGGAGAAGTAATAAAACAGTTCATCCCAGAAACCCTAAACTCCCCGGCCAAGTGCATACATCTCGATTAGCTTGTGTGAAAGGCCCCCTCCCCAACTCATCTCAATCCAACAATACGGGTGAGTAACAGTCAAGAGACCAAGCGTGAAGAGACTGCCGGATGCCCCATGGACAGAGGAGGAATGCTCAGAGGCTGTGAATGCCTTTAGATTGAGTGGACAAGCCGTACTCGTACAACAGAGTACAAATTGCTAAGAAAAAAAAGAAAAGAAAAAAGGAAAGTTTGTTCCTCCCAACTTCTGGTTTGTATCAGCACAGAGAGACACTCAATAGCAGATGGAGGAACTCTATATTTGAGAAAGGTGGAAAGGCTGTTGCACTTAAATGCAGTCTTGTCTTCCAAGCTGTGAATACGACGAACAGTCAATATCTCTCATTGGGGTCTTTCATGCTCAGTTAAGTAAATGCATTGATTTGTGCCCCCAGTACCTGAATAGAATGTAATTTGGAACAATGGACACAGTGGCCCACCATTGACAAGCTTGAGTGTCAGTGCAACAATTGCTCGAGACATAAAAGTAGTGTCTTGTTAATTAGTACCCTTTGGTCTTTGATTTTGTTGGGCTGCCTTTTTTTCACCTTGAAAGTGCAATCCAGCTCACCTATTGTCACTTGCATTGGACTCTCTTCCATCACGAGTGGCCCTAACTGTCTTCACTTGAGTGAAGCCCATCTTTACTAAGAGAGAATGTCGAGAAGGTGAAGCTAAGAGCTTTTGCTGTCAAGTGTGGTGGAAAATAGCCATTGTCTGAGTGCTTCCATCACCATCACTAGACGTTGGACATTCAGATACCCAGAAATGCCATTCAAGTGACACATCAGACATTTTGGAAACACTTCAATTTGCAAATGGCAGCCATTTAGTGGAAATGAAAGCTGTGCATGCCCACACACATGGGCAAATCAAACCTGAGAGCAGAAAATTGAACTACACCGAGTTCTAATTTGCAAAAGCCCCCATATTCATATAGAAGTAAAGCAAAGGAAAAAACAACCCTTATGTAATCTGAATTTAATCTGGCAGTTTCACCCACATCTTCTTTAGGACAGTGAAGTGGCTTCTACAGATAATAGAAAATGCAATCAAATGTCTAAATCCTGCCACCACAACTCTCTTCTCTTCAGTAGATATAAGAAAAAAAGGCTTGTTCGTAGTGATAAACTCACAGATAATTACAGTAATTATTCTTAAGAAAAGTGTTCGGTGAGAGATTTCAGCAGCTCGTAAAACTTTACGGTTTTTAGTTCAGTCTCGCCGTTTGCCTTTTTTCCAGACACAGCAGGCACCCATTAGTGAAAAGCCTCTATTAACCAATGCGCACAACCTGATAATGGAGCGCTGAGCAGCTAAAAAGCCTTTACAAGGTGATTAATATGTCAGTACTGTGTTGTGCCCTAAAGGTGCAAATAAATAAATGATTAAAGGTTAAAAAAATAAAATCTTTACATCCTTAATTGGATGTACAATAATGATGCAAAACATTAAACATACAGGGTATTATATG